AGAATTAAATAGTTGAAATTTAATATATATATATATATATATATATATATTTTGGGGACTCATACATAAAAGAAAAAAACTTAATATTTATAAGTAAAAATTAGCTATATTATTTTTATTTAATGTTAAAAACGAGTATTAATAAATCTCATTGATTAGGTAATTAACCTAGTTTTGCTTATTTAGGAACTTGCCAAAGGTTTTGGACTATAGGAGCAAAATTGAATTTATCCATGCCATATAAGAAAAGAAACACGAGAATTGCTAATTTGTATATTATTATATATTATTATGATTTAGGGTAATTGGAAATTATAATTTCTTATTTTATAAAATTAAGGAGCTTAAATAAATTTAAATAATACTAACATTCTTAACAATATATGAACTTAGTTTACAAATTATTATTTTTCAAAATTTTATTGTATATAAATGCCGTAACATTCGAAATATATTATAAAAATAGTTTTATATGAAATATATAAATGATTTGTAGGGGACGGGCTAGGATATTTTAGTAGTGGTGGCCAAATATATAAAAAAAATTATTTTAAAAAATTATATATTAGTCAATAATTAGTGTATAAATTTAAAACTATGATAATTATTTAATATGTAAAGTCACTTATGAGATAATTTTATATATGCAGTTGGATAAAAAAAATTCGTTTGAGAATATATATATATATATATATATATATATATATATATATATATATATATATATATATATATCCATGAAATTATTCAAAATAAAAAAAGCTTAGATTTAATTTTTATTTGTATTGTTTAATTATAAAAACTATTAATTTATCTTAATCATTAAATTATTAAAAACAAACGATAAAAATGAAAAATATATATTTAAATATGAGTGTGGAATCCCTACTAACGTGACAATGGAAGGGTCCCATTTGTTAATTTGTGAATGAATGGGCTATGAATTTAGTGAACTTTGGGCCAACACTGAATTACTAAAGTCTTGTACTCAGCATAAAAAATAAACCCATAATATTAATCAACAAATTAAAAAAATTAACCCACAAATCCATAAGAAATTAATCAACATTGTTTGTGTAAAGAATACAATGAAATGCACCTCTATGTAAAAATATATTTTTTTTATATTTTTTTATTCATTTTAAAATTAACATTATTAACTTATATTCTACTTTAAAATTATATACACTATTAAAATAATCTAATAGATGTATGTGGAACTACTATTACATCAACCAACATTTTTTTAAGAAATAATTACTTAATTCTTAGTTACTAATTGGATGGTGTTAAAAAGTACTTTTAACTCTATAAAGATTATTCATTTTTGTTTTATATTTAATTATTTGTTGATATTTTCATTATTAAATTCAATATATTATTTTTTTCATGACAATTTTGTTTATAAATTATTAAAATGTAATTGCTAGCTCTATTCTTTTAATAAGAATGATAATGATAGGTGTAACTAATAAATGTCTCAAATATCTCACATGATTATTTTAAATTCAAGTCAAATGTAAAGGGTTTAAATGAATAAAGCATTTAAAAGAAGAAATATTTATAACTATGAAAAAGTTTGGATATGAGTTTGCGTACAATCCTCATAAAAATATATATTAAAAGAGAAAAATATTCAAAATAGTAAACTGGTAAGTTTGAAAGTTGAGTCAAGAAAATTTAAATTGTATATACGTTAATGTTGAGATTTTAATTCATAATTAATATTTTAAAATATATTTATATGAAAAAATTAATTAACACTGAAAGTATTAAATTTAATATAAAAAATGATTTTCTAAATTCATTAATAATTTTTCAATATCATTAATATGAATAAATAATTTCGAGTAAATGATTATTTTTATCCCTAAAATTTTTATTTGATATCCTTAAGGGGTGTAAAGTAGAGAATTATTTTGATTTTTAAAAAATCATAGGTTAAAAATATTGAATTCCTAACAAATTTGAAAATAATTCTCAAGAATACAAAATTATTGGAAATCGTTTTTTATTTATGTTCTTCACTAATTTTTGTTTCCTAAGTCTAACATTTTAGGCTTGTCAAATATGAAATTTTCAAATAAAACATTATTCTTAGGAATAAAAAACTTGTATATCAAACACTCCTTTATATTTAAGAAAATTAAAAACAAAACCTATGAAGTTTTTGTTTAATTTAAGTCTCTTAATGTAATCACATTGTTTTAGTCTCTAAACATATCATAAATTGTATTCACTTTTACTTAAGACTATTTTGTGTCTTTTTTTTTATTCTTCTTGGTTTCCTTATGTAATTAGAAGCATTAGAATAAAGAGGGAAAAATGTTGAAGATAAAACAAGACAAACACTACACACACTCATCATTTGATATCTTATTCTCCATTTTCATCAAAATTTCACATACAACAAAACTTCAACTACAAATAGAGTTAGAAGTTTATTAAAGGGTATTTCCTTCTCAACCTTCCATCTTTACTTCTTGTGTGTATGTTTTTGAGTTTTGCCTTTTCTTTTTCTTCTCATTTTGATTTATTGCTCTCTGTTCATCATTTTAATTCATTTCCTTCTGTTGTTATTTTATTTGCTTTGTATATGATGGATTCTCAGGCTTGACCTCATGCAATTTCAATTCACTTTCTTTCATTCTCAATTCATCAAAATTCTCATCATGGTGTAATTTGGTTGCTTTCATTTTATTATGAATTATCAATTATAATGGATTTAGTTCCTAAGTTGTATTCCACAATAACAAAAAATAAAAGCTTATACATTTTATTATATAAATTTAGTGCCTAGTTCTGCATTCCAAAAGTAAAATAACAATAATAATAAGTTTTAAAATATATATTCTATATTATTAATTTTGTTTTTAAAAAAATCACCGATGAAGCTACATATCCATAGGAAAAGGTGTATAGTAAAAAAATTTCTTGGATTATTGTATCAGCTTTATTTGGCGTTTGCATCTGTAAAACATTTTTTTATTAAATTTTACTGTTTTGCAAAAGTTTCACCAAATACATGCATTCAAAGATATTGTTAATTAGATTAATATTATTAATAATAACAAAAAAATATACATTTTTAATATCATATTAATCTCTAAATTAGGTAAGACAGTTATTAAGGTTGAATAGTCTGATTGTCATTCTATGTGGTTGAACAGATTATAAAGTACATAATATTATTTTAATACTAATATAATATATTTTGCGTAATATTAAACAAAAATAATATTCATTACTAATAAATATGATGTTAGTCCTTCAATTTTTTAACAATTTTATTTAAATTTAACCTTTTTAGTTTCTATATGGTGAAAAACGGTTATTTTAAATTTTCAACTTCAAGTATTGTTACAAATTTTATTTAGTGGATTATAATTACAAAATTTTATTTGATAATTTACTTCAATTTTCATGATTATTATCATTAATATTACTATTATTATTATTATTATTATCAAATACCCTGTTACATGTTTATTTTCCTTTAAAAGATTTTTTTTAAATGTTTATAAAAGACCTGTTTTTTTTAATTACAAGCTTATCTTAATTTTTAAAAAAATGAAATCATATTTAACTCTAACTAAAATTAAACAGCACATTTAAGTATATATGAAACTAAATTTCACAAAGTTTAAGGCCAATAACAAATAACAATGTTTATTAACAATTACAATCAGAAGCTAATCAATTATCATCAGAATCTACTCAGTTAGAATTAGATCAATTATTACAATAAATTTTTTTAATGTAAACAAATGAAAAAAAAAAATCCCCCAAATAAACTAGATTTTGGCCCATTACCAAATTTTGAACCAAATCAACAAGCTTTAGTGATTTCTTACAAGAATAATTTTCAAGATTAAATTAATCATTTAATGATCAATTCCCTATTCAACCAGCTCTAGAACCTAATTTCATCAAGTTCTCACAAAACTGTTAAAAAACATGTTAGCATTCTTAAGATGGTCTAATATAATGTTCTTTTTTTTTTCAAATAATGTTTCAATTCAAAAATGGATGCATTTTAGGACGCAATAACATGTTTTATTTATTTATTTATTTTATTTTCCAGATTGATTCAAATAAACAAAAGAATGGGATAAAAAAAGATGGATGGATGTGGGGCAGGCTGATGAGGTCAATGACTTCTAAGTGGCATTCAGAAAATCTTAAAAGTAAGTAATGCAAATTACAATGGAAATAATCATGTGATCTTCTTTTTTTTAGTCATAGTCAAAAGAAAAAAAAAAACTTGTCTAACAACGGTTCAGCTTTTGCTAAATATATTTAAAAATAATATAATTGTAAATTTATTAAATACTACTTAATTAAATTCTATATTTAATTGATTAAAATTGGTCAAACCCAAATCATCTTGACCACACCTCTATTAATTGTTGATACTATTTTGATTTTTTATTTTACTACATTAATATAGATATAATTACCCTATGGGTAATGATGAATAAATATTAAATATATTCCTTTAAATACTTTTAATTGCTTAAACAAATATATATTGTATATATGTTTTCGTTTCTTTAATAATATTATAGTATTTTGCTAGATTTTTTATTAATATTAAGTCTCATCAATCTCATAACATATATTACAAGGTTGTTGTTAGAAAAGTAACAGTACTATTCGTCAAACTAAATTTCTTGTTAACAACAAATATCTTCTGTTCCTCTAAATCGACAGTTGTAGCTACCCTTAACAGGTTAAGAACACTGCCACATTCTAAACAAGGAAAAGTTAAAACAAGAAAACAGAAAATAATGTTTCATGTTATAATCTCGTTTCAATACTCTTTCTCACAAAACATTATGCAAAAAAGGATTCACCATTCCCAACTTCAAAGTTGGGAACGGTTGTTGGAATCTGATTTTTTGTTTTTTTGTTTTCTTTTTGGTTTCTCATTTGAATCTCAAAGAAACATTTATTTATATATTACGTACTTTCCACCTTCATAAATAACCATCAAGAAAATGACAAAACGATCCTTAACCACAGAGATGGAATGCAACGTGAGGCAAATGCTGAAGCTGATTGAAGATGATGGAGACTCATTTGCCCAAAAGGCTGAAATGTATTACAAGAAGAGACCAGAGTTAATTTCTCTTGTTGAAGAGTTCTATCGTGGCTACAAATCTTTAGTTGAACGTTTTGATCACAACACCTCCTTGTGTGATCTTCAATCACAAGCTTCTGGTGTTTCAGATTGTGGTTCGGAAACACCTTCTTCTATGCCTTCTCCCTCGCCTAGGAAGATGGGCCATCGCATATCCACCAACCGTGCCGCAGGAGTGTTTCTGGCACGGTTGTGAATACTCTTCTAGGCGTAGAAGAGGTGTTTCCGAACCGCAATCTGGAAGCGCAGAAAACTGTGATTGAAATCACACAGAGAGAAGTGTTGTGATATTCCAGCTAAGATTTGAACCACACTCTTCAACAAGAAGAAATTAACTCTGAATATATGCTGTACATTCAACGCTTTTTTGGGCTTAAATGAGTCTCCAATCATCTTCAGCTTCGGCATTTTCACGTTACATTCCATCTCTGTGGTTAAAAAATCATTTTCTTGATAATTATTAGAGAAAATATGAAAATATAAACATAAATAAATGTTTCTTTGAGATTCCAAATGAAGAGCAAGAAAACAAAAAAACAAAAAATCAAAGATTCAACAACCGTTCCCAACTTTGAAGTTGATGGTGAATCTTTTTGCATGAAATATTTTTGTGAGTATTTGAAACAGTATGAAACATTATTTTCTGTTTTCTTTGTTTTAACTTTCACTTGTTTATGGCGATATGTTCCCAACTGTTAAGCTACATGTCATTAGAAGGAACAATGTTAATAAATTTAGTTTGACGAATAATTTTGTTACTTTTCTAACAACAACCTTAGTAATATATGTTATGAATTGATGAGACTTAATATTAATAAAAAATCGCTTAAAATACTATATTATTAAAAGAAACGAAACATATATACAATATATGTTTGTTTAAGCAATTAAAAGTATTTAAGAATATATTTAATATTTATTCATCATTACCCATAAAATTAATTATATCTATATTAATGTAGTAAAATAAAAAATCAAAATGTAACAAATTGTGGTCAAGATGATTTGGGATTTGATAATTTTTAATCAATTAAATATAGAATTTAATTAAGTAGTATTTAATAAATTTACAATTATATTATTTTATTTAGCAAAAGCGGACCGTTGTTAGATTTGGTTTCTTTTGACTATGACTAAAAAAGAAGATCACAT